ATTGAGATAAAGATACATAAGCAGTTATGATAGCTATAAGTGAAACAATTCCTAATGCCACACATGAAATACATCTCTTTTTATCATAAGTTGTATAGCATTAAGCAGCTGACATATATTGTTACCAGTATTTTTTATTACAGCAGTCTCTAGATGTTTTAGAATTCCTTCAACATATTTACTATCTGTGATAATATTCATTGGCTCCTCATATTTTTGAAATGCACAATAGACAGCATATAATTCATTCTGTTGTGTGGATATAAAGGGTGTTTCAATCACATGTAACTCCTTTCTTTTAGGGCACCAGATAGAGGCCTTATTCATCTTTGTGGCATTAGTAAAGACATTAATCCAGTGTACGTGTTATTCTCAAAGATTGCATGATATTTAAAGGGTTTTCCAAAAACAAGTGTCAAATTTACGTGTATTTGCCAATTAGGCAACTTTTGTATTGCCTTTTCTATAACTTGTTGAGGAAATGGAAGGTATATGATTTCCGGATGTGTGCCACACAATGTTAAACACCTGTTGTCAATTTTATGTATTAAGTCCTCTAGCAAGGCCATATAATTACTTTAAGTATTTTTGGCTGAGATGGTAAATATATTTATTCTAAAAAACCTTTGTTTCTGATGTATCACTGCTGTTGGAGAATTTGGAGTGTTAAATATAGAAGCCTCCACACTTTCATGCCTATCAATCCTGTCTGTGTGTGCTCCAGCTACTTGTTCCTGAATATACAGCAATGTGTGTTTCACCTCAGGGATCAGTATTCGGGGTGAATCTAATTGAGGATCACCTCTAAGGCAATCATATAAAGGTATCAATTCATAATTTGGAACGCCTATCTGTGACTGAAGCCGCAGCATATCTCCTATAAGTTTCTGAAAATCATTAAGTGTTTTCAACTTTTGTAGGTCTATTTTTGGAGGATGTAGAACTATTTTTTCTTGAAATATCTGGTGACCTAAATATTGATATGGAGGAAGTTTTTTGAATTTTTCTGGGCTATTTGAAGCCCCATGACCTTGCAACAAATTTTGTATTTTTAACAAGATTTCTTCCAACACTTCAGGATTGGGATGAGCACATAAAACGTCATCCATGTAATGTATCATTTTTACCTTTTGTCATGGAATAGTAAAAAAGCAATCTTTTAAATCAATACCTATCAAAGGCTAGGAAGTCATAAAGCATCGTTACTTTTCCTGACTTCTTTGCAATAATAAAAACAGGTGATTTGTAAGGAACCCAAACAAGTTCATTGGATTTCGTTTTGTATTTTGTCAGTTTTATGGATAGAAAAAGCACAAACAGTGGGTGGGAGAAAATAACAGCTCTCAGTAAATGTAAAATATCTCGCCCACAAATTAAGGGGAAATGAATTGAGTTTTAGCTATCTGTTATCCTAGTAGTTTAACTTCATCTTAAAATAATTGATTAGTGGTGATTTATTAGGCAAGCTAAAAGTAATTAATATCCATAAAAGTCATATGAAACATTAAAAATTATCAAGGAATCTTGATTAATTTGTAACATTTTGGTGGTATACCTGCAGACTGCAGAACAATGCACCCAAAGTAAGCAAAGGGTGACACCCTCTGTACCCTTTCAGGGGTAATTATAAATCTAAGAGACTGAGAGGCTTGTTAAAACTTGGGCATTAATAAGGAGAGTTTGGTAGTAGTAGGACAACTGCGAAGTTTATCATCCATACAATAAATTATTTTTGTCTGGGAATGTTTCTGACTAACAAGTTTAATAGTGTGATGAACAAAATTTTGGCACCTGGTAAAAAAACATTTCTCCTTAATGGATCATAATAGGGAAAATGGGAAATACTGATTTAATAAGACAACCATACCCAAATTCAAGCTCAAAACAAAGTTAATTGTAGTTCTAAGAGTCTTTTACCTCAAGCAGTAAGTTTTGCTGATTATGGCTTAATGCCAGATACAGTTAATTATTTTCATAGAAGTGCAATAATCAATAAAGATTTACTAGGACTCACATATATAAGAAATTTTACTTAACATCCTTTCTTTCCCACATTTAAACTTGTCTTGGTGAAAAAGCCAATTATTAGAAATCATTTATATAAAGTTGCAATTTCTCAGTAAGCTAAATGAATTGTTTAGGAACTCAATAACAAACAAATTCTTCTCTCAGAGCAGACGACCTTGACACAGCTGGTAGGAGCTTTTGGCAAGCTTACAAAGTTAAGGGAATTGCCTTGTGTCCCTCCTTTTCACTCAAAAGTAATCAAGAATTCTAGGTCTTAGCTTTAAAACAGTAACTTCAAATAACTTAGTTAACAGTTTTGGCAATTTTCATGAGTGATAGTGAATTTATTTTAGCTCCAAGCTGTTCTTTTAATCATAGGTAAAGATAGAAATAACTGATTTTCTAAATGATAGTTATAAAACATCATAGAACAAGATTAACCAGACTTGATAAAATAATTTAGTTGGATTTACACAGTTATCTCACTATCTTTCAGTTTCTTTTAGTTCACGTTTTAATAACATCAAAATTATTAAAAAATTGCCTGACATAACACATAAAAGTGTGCCAATTTGTAATGAGACTAGATTTTTTAAACTTGAAACATGCATATTACTAATGTGAATGAACTAAATTATCTTGAGATTGTGTTCCAATACTTAAAAACTTTTCTTTTTGATTTGAAGAGGAAAACTCTCCTTCTCCTTCTTTTCTCCCCCACCCCAACCTGGCTGGGGTTGGAATCTGAGAGAAAGGAAGATAATATTTTTCAACATAATCTTTCAATCTTACACCCAAAGCTTTGGCCAGAGCTTTAGAATGCAAAAAAGAGAGAATTTTTTCTCCAAAAGTTTCCAAATCTTTTACTCTCAAATCATCTATTCCTGCTATTCATGCAAACAGATTATATTATTCTTTCCACCCATACTTTTCTTATTCCTGTATGTTTAAACTTTCTTGCCTTTTATCAAGTTATATAACCTAAATAATGAAGTACTTTTTCTCCCATTCTCTCCCCCATCCACCCGCTCCCGGGAAATGCGTCTGGTATTAGGGAGGGAAGGGGAGAAGGTCACTAACAGCATTTCAAAATCCAGTTGCAGCCCTTGGCTGCCTGGCAGCAGAAGATTAGACATTAATCACAGACCATCATTCACACAGACACAGACAAACATAGAACAAAATGACAGGAGAATCCAAAAGCAAGAAACTTGTCAGAAATTCCCTACACAAATGAAATAATACTATTTTGATTTTATCTTTTCTTTTCATGGTATTCTAAAACCAGGCAAAACCTTTCTTAAGGTTTTGGTTTTTGTAAAAGGAAACTTTTTCACTTTGTAATGCTCCACAATATATTGCTGTGACTACACTTTCTTTTCTACTTCCCCTTGGGGATTTTTGAAATTCCTCATGGCACACGGCGGGAGCTTCCTTTGTTCTCACAGCTCCTACAAGCCCATTTTTATAGGATTATAGATAGTGAAAGTACCCAGAGGAACTGATTTTGGGCCTTCGATGTTATAAAATTCTGTCGATTGTTCTCCCACTATTTTCCATTGTTCTAAATCTAAGTTCCCTTCTCTGGGGTGCCATGGAGATTTTATATCAATAATATCTAGAAACTCTCTTCTTTTCTTAGGAGTTACCCGAGCACCCCTGTTCCCTAATCACTTTATATATTACTCTAACATTCTGTTCCTTATCTGAGAGTTTACCTAGACTTTGCCTCATGATAAGACTTTACCTTACCTCTCCGTAGTTTTGTGCCACGGGATACGATTCGGAGACCTCTCACAAGGAGGCTGCCTGGCTTCCCAAAGACCTTGGGGTCCTGACCGTGGGGTGATTTCTCCGCCTTTTCTCCAGCCCGGCCCTTCACTTTTCAGGCTAAAGAGGGTCCCACGTTGTGGATCGTGGGTTGTTTTCTCAGCTTCCTCCGCTGCCTGCCCTTCAGTCTTCAGACTACCAAAGGGGGCCCCACGTTGGGCGCCAGTTTGTTGTGCACAACTAATTCAGCTCGCCCCTAGAGCCAGGATCCTAACTTTGAAGGGATAAGACCAGCTTAACCTTCTACCTCGAATGCGCATTGATGAGGCGGGAGACAAGATGGAAGCGACTCCCTTTATTTTAGCAAAGCACTTACTTACATAGTAAAATAACAGGAACTCTTTCTCAAGTTACAATGACGTATAGCCCATGCTGTGCTCAAGGGCAATGCATGCACGTCCTGCGCACTTTTCTGACTCCAATCCCAGAACAGACTGCTAATGACCATACAATAACTAGGGGAGTTAAAGATTGTTAACAGATCCTGATAATCATTTAAGATCAATTGAGCCCCAACAAGGGCCAAAAACTTGAATTAATCTTTTTCTCTCTGAGTGAACTAAAAACACCCCTTCCTGTGTCAGCAAATTTCAGGACCAGATGGAGCTCACCAACATTCTTCCCGTTCGGTAGTCACTGAGCCCAGGATGTCTGGGACCGGACACTCTCTTGATTAATGAGACTTTTCCTTCTTTTGTATCCTATAGACATATGTTATGTAGAGGAAACATATATCCTGGATCTATGATTTTGATATTACTTTGACATTCTTCTATTGTATTTACAATCTATGCAATTAGGTAACTTCCTTTTTTTTATGCTGTATGTTAAGAAACATATGGAAGCTATACCTTTTTGTTTTTGTAACACAGACATCCTGAGTCTGATCACTCTCAACTGTATAAAACCTCTCTCATTTTGCTTAATTTCCGAGTCAGAATCACATTCTGGCTTCCATGTTAACACGATTCGCTGAAAGGGAATAAACTATATAATCACGTATCACCTAACTTGTTTGCCTTCTTTAACCAAACTTTCAGGTAACAGTAATGGTGCCGTGACTTTGGATTGGAACTGAAGGAATGAGAGAAAACTCCAGCCCACCCCGGCAATGCTTTAGTGGCTCAGGTGCCTCAGGATCTGTTTTTTCCTGGAGTCCTAACCTTGATGGGGTCGGGTAAGTTTCTCCTATTCCCAGCTTCCATGGACCTCCCCCTAGTTTGGTTGAAGTCCGAAAGAAAATTCCCTTTAAGTTAGCTCTGGGGTTGAGGATCCAGTCGAGGTTCAGAAACTCCGGCTACTGTATCAGGTCCGCTCTGGTAAGGATCGATCTAGGAAAATTGGCTATGGGTCAGTCAGAAACTAAAACTAGAAATCCGGCTAACAAGACCGCTGCCTCTTATTTGTCAAGCCATTGCCAATCTGGTGATCGCAAGTACTGCTAGCACTGTTATCAATTAACTAAATACAACCCAAAATCATGTTGGTCAAAATATGGGGTTCTTTTGACCGGTCAAAGTTACTTTATCTTAAAACCCAATTAAGTTTAAAGGCCAACAAAACATCTATCCAGGAGTGGGAATGTTTTCATCATTGGGTTGCTGAGATGGCTGAGGGAGAAGGAAAGGCAGAAGCCTCTTCCCTTAAGGCTCACAAAGCTGCTTCAGCACTCTTTCCCAGGCTCCGAATAATCCCCCTCCCTCTCCCCTTTCCCTTAAAGGCTATGGTCCTGACAGGGACTCAGATCCCCAAACTTCACTTTATTGGAACTTGCCCCTTTAAATCTGCAATCTCAGAGGCACTCTGAGGAAGGCTCACAGGATCCAGTTAACACTATCAGGTCTTGGATCCTCGCAAATTCTCCAACCCCTTTTTCTCAGAATAATAATAATAATAGCCAATTCGGGGGGGGGCTTTCTAACAAGCCTCTAATTCCCTCTGTCTCTGTCATTAAGTGCGCACTATGTCATTATGTTTGTATTGTATTTGTCCTGTTAATTTGTCTGTCGGCTTGTGTCTCTGTATCTGTACCTTATAAGATTTTAAACGCAGCCAAAGACTTCTAAGGGCTGCAGCTAGGGAAACAACAAATTGTAAAAGTCCTTTCTTGTGGGTCCAGGCCTGGCCAGCTAAAGTTAGATGCAGCTAAAGACTTCTTAGCAGATTCTAAAGGTTTTGAGATTAATCATTAAGAAATTGGGAAATTGTTCATTTTGGGACTGTTGGAGAAAACTTCTGAGACTGGGGGTGATTCCAGGAGCTCACCCTCTGCGAAAACAAACACTTCCTTCCAATCCTGATTCCTCAGCATTTCCCACTCCCCCCCTCAGAGATAAGCATCTCAGTAAGGGGACTGAAAAAGAGAAGAGAATGCTGGAGGATTGTAGGGAAAACTTAAGTCAGCCTTCCCTATCTGGCAAAAGGAGGAGAGGGGCAGCTAACACAGACTAGCAGTGATGGTCTGCTATCAGCCCTATGCCCTGGTCATCTTGCAGCCCACCCTTCTAGGCAAGACCTGGGACTAACATCCAGGTTCAGTACATTCTGCCCAGCCTGCCCCAGCAGCTGCAAACGGCACCTGCCTCAGTAAATTCTGCAAGCTGTGGGGAGGAGAGAAGTGGACAGGTCAGAACTATGATAAGATTCCATATGCCCTGCCACCAAGAATTATCACCAATGGCAAAGCCCTGGCATCAGCCACCTAAACCCCTGGAAGGCCTGGCAATAGCATGATGAGATGAGAAGCCAACTTCTACTCTTGGTAAGCCCCATACTTCTCTGTTCCAGTTTCGGAATTTATGGCAAGTTATTTTATCTCTGTTTGCCCTGATTCCTGATTTGTAAAAGGAAAAATAACAATGGTTGTTGTTATGGGATCAAAACGATATAATGATTGCAAAGTGCTTAACACAATGACACATGTTAGACAACATTATTATTATCTCTCTAACTTAATGTAATTGTTCCATACCTGATAACTTTGAAGTGGTTTTTAAATACCATCAGTAACAAGATTAACAATTTCTATGCATGATAATCCGGAAATGCAACTGATGTCATCTGAAGTTTATTGTTTGTGTTGTTAGTATGTTTCTAAATTATATTGTGTTTCTAAAGCTGTCTTAGACTGTAAAATTTGAGAGATCATTGTGAGGTAGAAATGGTACATACGGTTTGGTCTTTTAAAAGGATGTGATAAAATTGGATAATTTGAAAACTGTTAACGTTTAATGAGGTATGTTTGGTTGTAAGCAGGTAATTAATTGGTTCCGTTTCAAGCTTTAAATACCTGATAATCGTTTATGGTATAGTTATATTTCTGAGATTTTTATATGGTGTAATCTGGTAAACAAATTGTATCAGCTATGCTGTTGAAAAAAAAAAAGCAATTTCTCTTATAATCCAGAGATGTTAGATCAAGAACTGTCACCCCTCCCAAAATAATAATAATAGGAGAGAATGAATGGGTTAGAATAAACTTCCAAGTTTTATTTGCTTTTAAGAGGAAGTTTCACCTAAAATTCTTATCAAATCTGTGTAAAAGTTTCCTCTGTTGTGAAATTCCTGAGTAAATGAGAATCCTTGAAATATGTTAATTTGAAGATTTATGGATTACCACATTCACTATCTTTGTGAGATTCCAGAATGTAATAGTTTTTCCTAATTTCCAGTGATATATTTAAAGACAAAGGAAAGAAAAAAAATACTGAGTAAATTTTTAAAAGCTTGATAATATTTTTTATTGTGATAAGGCTAATTTAAATGGGTATGTTCTTTATGCATTATAAAAACTGAATTTTTTTCTCCATTACAAACACCTTTTTGACTAAGGAACTTTGTGATATCTAGGAATTCTGTAACAACTAGGAATTTAGTTCATTATAGTACTTTGGGAAGTTATTTATGTTACTTAAGGACATTTTACATCAACTTAGTTTTAATAAATTCCAATGTTAAAGGTTTATTTTTACTGTAAGGTGGAAAGGAAAGATATCTATCACTTTAAAAATTTCTAACAAATGTCTTTCGTAAAAGTTTAGTGATTATTCTTCTTAACATCAGGATAAATTTTAAACTGTTTTTAAAGAAGGGAAATATATGTCTTGTTTGATTTTTTTTTTGAGGCCTACAAAATTTTCATTTGCAAGATAACTTACTGCTAAATTATTGAAATGAGTTGTAAAGCAGAAGAGATCTTGCTGTTTTGATCTGAATCTATAGTCATTTCATGGCCTAAGCAAGAGTTAAATTAGTGTTTGAACTTATGTGTATAAGATTCAAATCTTGAAATATCTTATTCTTTCAGAGTGAGTATAATTAGAGAAGAATAAACAAGCTTGTGAACAAGGACATAAATCCATCAACTTCTGAGGTTAAAGTTAGTAACCTTTTTGTTTTGTTTAAGGATTAGGATTCCAGTGCAGTTATGTTAGTGAAGAGTAGTAATTTATGAGCTCTTTTGTGTTAACTTAATAGGAAATCTAATATTATTATCAATCTGGAATTCGAACATGTGCAGAAATTTATACAAACTTCTGAAAACTCACCTAAAGATGTTCCCTTTGTTTAAAGGAATTATGAGAACAGTAGTATTTTTCTGTAATCAGTCTCTTACTATTACCAACGTGAGATTAAATTCTTATTATTAGGATATGTGACTTTATGGGACAGAAATTTACTATTGTTTTGAGCTTTGATTACCAGGATAATTGTCTGAGTTGCCATGAAGCCAATAGTAGGATGGCACGTGCTGCAGGCTGAGAACTGATAAAGGTGGATGTCTGTGTCTGGGAAGAGTTTTGAGGACGACCTTGGACACAGCCTAGGTAGGATCTTCCTGACTCTGTTTCCCAATTGTACTAATTCCTTTCTGAAAAGGAAAATTCCCCACCTAATTAATCCTGAACCCTGCTTTTAACATCCAGTGACTACATGATTAGCTATCAGATATGATTCATGCCTGGAATCAAATAGAGCTAAGGAAGTTCTTTCCTTCTGATATGATATACGACCTTGTCCAAATAGTATAATTACACTGAGTCGGATCAGGGTTCCCTACGAGGGTTCTGGAGGAGTGATTAGATAAATAGCAGAAAGCAGCAGGAGGGGCTGTGGAGGCCCAGGTTGCCCTAGAAAAGACAGGGCCCTGAGGGTTATCTAACTCTAAGCGGATTCGAGTTTTTTCCAACCGTTTCCTGAAGTAGGGGGCGCTGAGGAGACAGTGGAATTCCTTGTTTGACTGAGCCTGTTCCGCCCTGAGAATCATATACGGTTTTTCAGAGCTTCCCTTTTCAGAGAATCTTAGGCCCTCAGTGGGGTGAGCCTGGGTGATCAACTCAATCGACCCCCAGTCAGAGGCAGAGATAGGTTGTACTGGAGTGCGTCCCAGAGGGTCTATGCATAACCAGCAATTGGACGGGTTAAATAGCCTGACTGCCTCCTGACCCGGCTTCCATGTGGGATGAGTGGGAAGGTGAGAGAAGGGGTTGCTCTTCCCCTGTGATTGGACATCCCCAGAGACAGGCAGCCACTGCAAGACGATTGCAAATAAGCAATAGGAACAGGCTATGTATAAAAACATTCAAACCACATTCCCACTATAATGTGAAAATACACATGAAACAGATTATGCTTTAGTCACAAATTTAGTCTCTAATTAGTTTTCAATGCCATAAATTTCTGCAAATGAAAGGATCTGTTTCCCTATTCTCTTTCTCCTCTGTCTATCCCTGTGTCTTATCTCTGTCTCTGTCTCTGTCTCTCTCCTCTTTCCTCTCTCTCTGTCTCTGTCTCTGTCTGTCTCTGTCTCTGTCTCTCTCCCTGCCCCCCAACTTTAATCAGAATGAAGAACACAGAGATATCCTTTGAAAGTTTTGAAACTTTCAGCAGAAAATTTCTCACTGTTTTCACACTTTCTCTCTGGATGACCAGTCTACAGGAAAAGGGCGCTTGGGAAAAAGAAAACAGAAAGAAAACTATAGGGCAATGTCATTAATGAGCATTGACTCAAAAAAATTGAAGAAAATCCTGTCAAGGAAAAGGGCAGCTGGATTTACCAGGATACAGCACTCAGGCAAAGGTGATAGTATGTATTCTATAATATGATATAAAACAAACAGCATACAAACCACACACTCTCTCCTAAAGTCTCAGGACAAAAGCCGTTTTACTTGGTTTCACTTTGTCGTCTTGGGTCTGCAGCCTGCTTGGCAAAAAGCCTCCCAATTCATGTGTTTCTCTTTTTTACTCTCTGGCCAGTTTTCTCTCCTCATAGGTAGGGAGGTGCTCATTTCTACTTTCCTCTTCTAATTTCTTAAGTAGAAAACTCTCCGTGTTTTTGAGTAGGTGTATTTTTCAATTTCTGTTCCAGTGACTTGAAGTCCTACATCCTCTGGCCGACAGCCTAGTATCTGTAGCTTGCTCCTCTACTTTGCATCACTGCAAAGCTTACATTTTTTCAATTTTGTATCCATTTCTATAGGGAAAGAGACACTTTCCACTTCAGCATCAAGCCTATTCATTTGCTTAATTTCTTCAGCAAGAATTCTCCTGCAGCCTGCAGGGGGTATTCTCTTTGCCAGGCACCATATGAGCAAACAAATTTACCATTACATATGCTAAAGAGTGCAGCCGAATTTTTAATTAGACACATGTGTCTCAATGCTAGCAATCAAACCTTATTAATCAAATGCGTGCAAACAGTAGTTTATATTTTCCATTGGGCAATGCAAACATTAACCCAGAGTCTCCTCTCTGCCCAGCTGGAGGTCGTGTGTCTTCCTTGGAGGTGGTTGCCTGGCAAGTTAGCAAATCTCTGTCAATCAGTACGGTCTTTAAGAGAATCTGAGGAATGCTCAAGTCTCAAGAATGAAAATCAGAGTCAGTCTCAGCCATGACCCAGGATCAAGCTGAAGACTGGGGAGTCTCTGGTAGAATTCTTAGAGCAACTTTGCCCATTAGCTAGTTACACCCAACTTCTGAGGTGGTTTTTTACCTAAGCTTATGATAAAAGGAATCTATGAAACGTAAGTCATTAGTAAGTGTTTAGTAGTTCTTTATCAGACTGGGAGGACACGTACATCATGAATATTTGCTTACCAGATTTGGGGTATGCGTACATCTTTGCCAAACTATACTACTCAAATCCTTATCTTATTACAATAGAAAAACAACATATGACAACTATTCAGCCACAGAATGGATGCTTAACACAAAATGGAGTCAGTTTTGGCAAAGTAACAAATTTATTCCCACTACACATGGAAATCTCTCTTTTTTTTCCTCTTCAAAAGTACACGTTCACCATCAGGAACAGTTCTCAGCATCAGATGCCCTGAGCATAAAGGATTTCAATATTTTCTTCTGATTCAAGAAATAATTAAAATATTCAAATTGGATTTTATTCCCCTTCTCCCCCAATGCTATTACAAAGGCTCTTTTCACTAGCTTGCTATTTCTTACCCCTGCCACAATCCTTGGCTAGAAATTATAGCTTGTCACTTTACAGAATCTTCATTAGAATGTGCTTCTGCAGGGATGGAACTGCGTGCATATGAATGAACAAACTCCAGAATAATTAATGGAGAGGCTGAGGCGTAGCTGAGCACAGATTGTTTCTGAATGGGGAAGAATGCAAGTCGGGAACCCAAGGATTTCTCATGGCAGGCAAAAATAATGGGCAATGACTCTTATTGGAGGAATCATTAATTTAAATTAGGAGAGCCCGATAATAATCAGAACTATTTTTAATCAAAAGGTAATTTACATCAGGGAATAGATGGGGCCCCATGGATCATTTTTCTTCATTTTGTTAGCAGGTAGAAGACTGAGACCTTGGAAATAGAGACTGGGTAATTTTTTAAACTGCCTTTTTATCAACAGCAAACAGCCTGAGCATAAACACTCCTGTTTTAATAGGCCAGAGTTCACATTTCACATAGTCATACATAAAAAGAGGCCTTTCCAGGGATGAATGAATCTATCTGATTCAAATTCATAGAATTTGGTTCCTGGTACCACAAATTCATAGAAATGTTGCCAGTGATAGTTTTAAGTCAACCTGATGTTCAACTCATTGCAATATTAAGGTTTTAACCCCTCATCTGCAGCTTTTTAAAGTCATAGACACAGCAGCCGCAAAAGGTGTCAGGAAAAGAGCATGGAAAAGGAAGCCTGTAGACCTGGACCACAGTTCCAGCTCTGACCAACAGTCATGGGACTTCGAGCAAGCCGATAGCTCTCCCCTAGCACATTGCCAGTTGACTTGACTTGATTCACCGAATAAGAGATTATATCTGGAAGGGACTTTAGACTCCCTCTAGTTTGATCTACTCATTTTACAGATGAGGAAACTGAGGCCCAGAGAAATTAATGACTTGTCCAAGGTCTCATAAGAATAGTAAGTAAATGGCCCATTGAGATTTGGACTGAGGTTCTCTCATTCTAATTCCAATATTATTTCTATCCCACTGCATTACCTCTATAATTTCTTCACCTGTAAAATGAGACTAGTTGATAGAATAGAAAACAGAAATACAAAATAGAAAAAGTGAAGCAGATAGACTTATCACCCAGTTACCCGCTAGAGAGGTGGGCAACTATGTTAAAAGAGCAACTGATAGCAAGGACCTGTCCTTGGTGTTCTGAACCCCAGCATTCCATATGACCCATGATGAGGGCTCAAGAGTTGGGTTTATCCAGACCTATGAAGTCAACATTCTCTAACCTGCCAACCTGAGAGAGAAGTAAAAGCTAATCAGGCAGCATGACTTCAGGCTTTGTGCCTCATTTCTGCTGCCATGAGTCTAATCTGACTTTGCCTCCCTCTTGTTGGGTTGGGAGTGAAGAAGGATCGACAATCACTTGCTGTCAGTTTGAGGGATGATAGCCATTGGTGGGAGCTTGGAGACCTCCAGTGATGTCTGGCAATCAATAAGCATGTGTTAAGTGCCTACTATATGCCAACCACTGTGGTAAAAGAAAGGCCAAAGATAGTCTCTGCTCTCAAGGAGCTCACAGTCTAATGTGGGAGACAACACGCAAATAACCCAAGTGCAAACAGTATACGTACGGGATAAATTGGAGATAATCAACAGAGAGAAAGTACTAGAACTAAGGGGAAATGGCAAAGGCTTCCTATAAAAGGTAAGATTTTAGTTGTGACATGGAGGAAGCCAGGAGGCAGTGATAGGGAGGGAAAGACCCATTATTTCCTGATGCTGCTCATTCCATTTTCTTTTTTATTTATATCATTCATTTTATTTATATTTCTTTTTCATTGAGGTCTTTTGTTTTTATATAATGTTAATTTCCAAATGTATATTTGTCCTGCAAAGTAAATCTTCCCTTGAAAAACAGATTAAAAACAAGCAAAGACAGAGTTCACCAAATCCAACTGACACAGACTGTGTCTGACAGCAAATGCAGTATCCCACACCTGTAGGCCCCAGCTTTGCAATGAAGAGAGGAAGGTGCATTTCCTCAACTTTTCTCTGAGGTCAGTCCTGGGCATTATAATTATATAGCATATAATTATTTCTTTTTATTGTTCTTTCCTGTGACATTATTTTAGTCATTTTTTTCTGGTTCTGCTTGCTTCAATTGCTCAGGTCCTATCAGTTTTCCAAGGTTTCTCTGAATTCTTCACATGTGTCATTTCTTATGACCCAGAAATATTCCGTTAGAGTACGAACCACCATTTACTTGACCATTCTCCTGTAGCCAAACACCTTTTCTCTAGGTTTTTGCTAATACAAAATGTTCTGTATCAAGTATCTCAGTATACAAGAAAACTTTCCACCATCCTCGACCTCCTCGGGGCACATGCCTAGCAGCAGGATGCCATTGTCAATCACCTTTTTTAGGATAACACCTATTTGTTTTCCATAGCTTATTGACCTTCTATTTCTATCACCACTTTAGTATTATTCCTTCCTTTGTTGTTGTTCAGTCATTTCAGTTGTGTCCAACTCTTTATGACCCATTTGGGGTTTTCTTGGCAGAGATACTGGAGTGGTTTGCCATTGCCTTCTCCAGCTCATCTTGCAGATGAGGAAACTGAGGCAGACAGGGTGAGGTGACTTGTCCAGGGTCACCCAGCTAGTATGTGTCTGAGGTCAGATTTGAACTCAGCAAGACGAGTCTTCCTGACTCCAGGCCCAGCTCTCTATCCACTGCACCACCTAGTTGCCCTAGTATTAGTACTATATAAATAGTATTCCTATCTTTGTATAACCCCTTCCGCGTTGGCTATTTCTAATTTTTTTCGTCTTTGTGAAGAAAGACAGGAGTTTTAGATAATGAACAATAGACTACTAGGCTATCCTATCATAAAGTAATGGAGTAATCTGGATTATTGAGATAAAAAGAGTATTTTCTGAATTGCCTTATAAGGAATGAGGAGCAGGAGCTCAGGAAACACTCTAACTGTTCCAGGAGAGCGCGAGGTTGGACGGGGGTAGGGGGGAATACTGGCCTCTAGGTTTATTAGCTTTAACATACACACATTCTGGGGGGCTGGGGTTATGTCAATCAGTTTTACGTGGTGCTCACACTGCCAATTTGCTGTAAATGAAAAGAATAACCATTTAAGTGATTAAAAAGATATCCGTGAAATTATTATTTATTTGAAAAAAAAAGAAACCAAACATTGGAAGTAGGCAACCAACATGGCTTTGGCAACTGGCATGTTGTCTTGCATGAAAAAAATCAGCCTAAGACAGAATACTTTTAGGGTAAAAGAACTTTAGTTGCACTCGTCCGGTGTAATCAGGAATCATGAGTCCAGACAGCCAGACAGTCAATTCTAAGATCCATGTATACCTTCCAATTTGGTCAAACTAAGCAGGACTGTCCCTTTTCTTTATGACTCTAGTTAATGTTGGGTCTCCGCTCCTTGAGGTCAGGGACTATCTTTTGCCACAGTGCTCATACACTGTACGTATTTAATAAATGTTTACTGATTGAGTAGAGTGTCCTGCTAATACTCTGCAAGAGGACTTTGGTGAATGGAGAGGTGTCCAATATCACTTGACAAAGTCCATACATTCAGCTTGGATTACAGTCACTGCCCCTACCGAACGCCTGCTCTCTGAGATTCCTCTCAAGCCCTCCATTTTAAGAAAAGTCCCCAGGCGAGAAGATAGGTCTTCTTCATGCCTCATGGGATGCCACCGCTGACTCTCCCAAGCAAAGTCAGGGTCTCTGCCCTTAAGGAGCTCACAGGTTAAAGGAGGAGATGATGTATAAGTAACTCTGTGCCAGGAAGTATTGGAGATAAAAAGAACAAAATGAAAACAATCCCTGCCCCCAAGGGGCTTTCATACCACTGGGGGCTAGAGTAGTGGAGAATGTGTGTACCAGTAAGTCAATACAAAGTCATTTTGACTGGGTAGGGGGAGGGTACACTAACAGCTAGGAATAAAAAAGACTTTCTGGAGGAGGTAGCGGTTTTTATCAATGTTGGGCAGAGAGAGTAAGTCTAGAAATCACTCTGTTCATAAATCCCATCACTCCCATCTTGAACTAACAAAGGTCCAATTTATGGTTTTTGGAGAGCATAATTTCTCCAGCTTCTCTAGGAAAATAAAGTTACTCTTTTTAAAAAAAAATGTGGTTTGAATTCTGAGGTTGAACTCAAGTTGTTTCTGGAGGAATCTGCGCTTTAAATGAATGCTGCACTTTCAATGAAGGGTGGAATTAGAAACCCAAACATGTAATGCAGGAGACTGCCAAACAAATAGTGTCTAAAGCTTGGCCAGCAGGAAGGACCCTAGCTACTGCAAGGATTCAGACTGACAAGACCTGTACTTGTGTATCTGTCTGAGCCTGCCTTCAGGATTTTTTTTTACTTCAAAGGTGGGTTCATTAATGAGGAGTTCTAAAGAAGAATTCTTCTAAAGAAGAATAAATAATTGGCTTTCTCCTGACACTTTCTTCCTAACTCCTCTCCCAACTTTTTTTTTATAAATAAGAAAACTGACTGAATTCATAGATTTGTCTTACAGAATGGCATGGCTTAAGGTACCGCCAGCAAACCTGTACTCCAAAGAGATCAAAGGAAGAAGAAAAAGACCCATAGGTACAAAAATATTTATAGAAGTTCTTTCTGTAGTGTCAAAGAATGGGAACTTGAGAGGACTCAATGATTACAGCAATGTAATGGGAAAGAAACTTAATATTATGTAATCACAATGATCGAGGATGACCCCAGATTAAGGAATAGCTGAAAAATCATGTTATGTGAATTGAATGGGATACTATTGTACTGTCAGAAGTGAAGGTTTCAGACAAACTCAAGAAGACTTCTGTGAACCAGTGTGGTATGAAGTGAGTAGGAACAGAAGGATACTTTATATGATAAAAACAATATTATAAAACTGGACAATTTTGAAGGACTTAGGAACTGAACTCTTTGTGGTCCCAGAATGGGCGTACACCATCACTTGTCTCTCTGCATTTGCCAAGGCCATCCTCTGTGCCTAGAATGTGCTGGCTCCTCAATTCCTGCCTCTCATAATCTTTGTCTTCCTTGAAGGCTCATCTTTGGTGCCATCGCCTTCCTGATCCCCTCCGCTCCACCTTACCTCCACTGTCACTGATCTCTCCTTCCTCAGTGGTCCTTGGATTATACTTGGTTTTGTATTTGTGGTCTCCTCCTAGAGAATGTAAACTCCTTGAGGGCAAGAACTTTAAAAAAAATTGGTTTTTGCAACACCAGTGTTTGCACTCTGTTTTTTTGACTGAATCTATGATTTCATTGGTTCAAGGAAGTTTCAATGAGGAAATTCTTTCTACCAACACAGATTGGCATTTGCCCTGCAGCTAATAGTCTTAGAAAAATTGCCTGGGGTCCTGAGGGGCTGAGTGACTTCTCCAGACTCAAAGATTTTCTAACTCTTGAGCTGTCTCTCTGCCCACTATACCAAGACTGAATCTTCCTCTTTGTGTACAGCAATCACTTAATAAATGTTTATAGAATCGAACTGAGCTGGTGGTTGTGGGATAATGGAAAAGGAGAGCAAATTTGGGTAGCAGCCTGGAAGGGATAAGGTTGACACGGATGGGTGTAAGGAAGCAGGCACGGAGGGGAGGGATGGGAGCTTTGAGCTGGGTAGTTACTGCTCAGAATCACACAGATTTTGAGTGGAGCCACGGGGCAGGAGGTGATAGGGATAATCACATACCTTCAGTGGTAGTAGAAATGAGAAGTAAGGACAAAGCTTAAAGAGACATTGTGGAGGAATGAGAAAAGCAACAAGTCAGAAACGCTATCCTCCCGAGACTGAGGGAGGTCTCCCATGAAGAGCTGTATCTATTCCATCAGAGAATTCAGGTGGCCTTGACTTCAAAGGCTGCCCCCTGTGGTGTGCTGTTCCCAAGATCAAAAAGGCCTGGCTTAACCAGAGCACGTTCTGTGTCTGAGAGAAAAAGGTTCCGGGCCAAATATAGATGAAAAAGAAAATCTTGCCCAACGTTCTCTCCCCCTCTGGTTACATAAAAATCAATGTAATATTAATATAACCCAATTAGTGGAGAAAGACATGCAGTGATGCTGAGGGAATGGATTCCTGGGAAGGTATTTGCAGTGGGGTTCCAGTCGGGAGGGGGTGTGGGCCCTCTGGGCACAAAACTCTAAGAGTCAAGTAATTTGCATAAGATAGGCTCAGTGCTTGATGGGAAGAAGTGCAGGTACAGTGGAAAGAAGGTTTTCCTTGGATTCAGCGGACCTGGGTTCCAGTTCCATGTCTGACACTCTGACAATGGGCATAAAGAGAGAATACAATGCTAAGCTTCCTATCTCTGATGAGAATCACACAAAATAGTTCATTAGGAAATGTGAATGTGAGCTATGGTTATTATAAAAATGGGGTAGGGTGGATGATTGCTCAAAGCCCCCCAGCAATATCAGGGAAGGGATATCTCACAGATGGGTTACCAGACCGTCCTCAGGCACTGATCATTCTAGCCGCATGGAATCAGCAACCATTATATTCCCCCATCCCTTCAGTGGAAAGAATGATGGATTTGGGAGCCAAAGTCCCCATGCTCAAATCCTGCTTCTGCCACTATCTGTGTGGCCTTGTGTACATTACTTCCTCAGTCTGGGCCGCAGTTTCTTCATCTGTAAAATGAGAAGGTTGTCCTCTGAAGTCCCTTCTGGTTTTCAATCTAAGACTTAAGTATTCTGCAAATGTCTCCAGGGGAAAGAGAGCTGTTCTGGGTGTGACCTTCAGACCCTAAGTTAATGGACCCTAATTAGGTCCTAGTACTTCTAATCATGACAGACTCTAATAGCAGCTAGGTGGCTGAGTGGATAGAGTACTGGGCTTGAAGTCAGGAAGCCCCCAGCCCCTCAATCCTTCTTCTTCAGATACTGACTGTGTGGCCCTGGGTAAGTCAACTGTAACATATCTGAGCCTCAGTTCCTCATCTGTAAAATAAGGGGATTGGATTTGGTGGTCTCTGGGTTTCCTTCCAGCTCTAAATCAATGCTCTTCTGATGCTATACTTCTCTCTTCCCCCAAGTAGCCCAAGACCAGAGACTTTCCTATGGAAAATGGAAAGCACTTCCCTCTCGGCTACTAACTACCCATGTAACCTTGGGCAGCACGGGCTGAGGAAAAACAGCATGGAACTCAAAAGTCAGAAGACATCATCTTCATCATCCATATCATCATCATCTTCTTCGTCATCATCATCATCTTCATTTATATGGTATTTACCAGGCTCCAGTCACTGCACTGAGCACCTTACAAATGTCTCATTTTATTCTCTCAACAACCCTGGAAGGTAAATGCTATTATTATCCCCATTTTACAGTTGGCAAACTGAGCAGACAGAAGTGAAGTGGCCTTTTCAAGGTCACACAGCTAATAAGTATCTGAAGCTGGATTTTAACTCAGGGCTTCTTGACTCCATGCCCAGAACTTTATCCATTGTGCAAGCCAGCTAGATTGAAATCCTGGCCTGGCCACTACCTGGGTGACTTTGGGCAAGTTACTTCCCTCCTTTTGGACTCGGTTTCCACATCTGTAAAATGAGGGGGAAGTGGATTAGGTCATCTTTAATCCCTAAAACCTATGATTTACAACAAGATCAAGAAGGGAAATTGAAGAATCTGTCAGTATTCAAAGTACCCAGGGAGTCTTGGACAAGAAAGTTTAGCAAAAGCTTCGGACCAGGGAATGGGTAGCTATGTCAATGAAGAATAGTGAATATCCATTGTGAGTGAATTGTAGGGAGAGAAAGGGACAGTGGGATAGATTTCCTGGCCACTGCTAGATACCAGGGGTGCTTGAATGGCTGACTACAGCCTCTTTTAAGAAAGACAACTCCCAAGGGGCAGTTAGGTGGCGCAGTGGATATAGCACCAGCCCTGAAGTCAGGAGTTCAAATCCGGCCTCAGACCAAACACTTGACACTTACTACCTGTGTGACCCTGGGCAAGTCACTTAACCCCAATTGCCTAAAAAAAAAAAAAAGAAAGAAAGAAAGAAAGAAGAAAGAAAGGAAGGAAGGAAGGAAGAAAGAAAGAAAGAAAGAAGTTTAAAAAAAAGTTAAAAAAAAAAGAAAGACGACTCCCCCATGGGCAGTCATGACACACCCTTGCTCAAAAATCATCAAATATCTCCCCATTTCTTCCTAACCTCTTTAGCTAAGCATTCAAGACTCTACAACGTCTCCCCTCCCCCACTCCCAGCTACGTGACCATGCTTCTTTCCCACTACCTCCTTTTACAGACTCTAGAGCCAGCCCCATACTGGCATACTCACCCTTTCCTGAACTCATCCTTCCCACACCTTTTCCCAACCCCTTTCTTTCTTCCTACTGAAATCCTTCCCACCTCCCTTCTAGGTCTATCTCAGCTGCCCCCTCTGTCAGGCCCACTCCCTAGCCACAGTGATTTCTCACACACTTCATACATCTTCAATGCTCCAAATCTTACTTTGCTATTGTCATTGTTTGGGGGTTTTGCTCCAGAACTGTGATGTACTCTGTACAGGAACTCTTGGGAAGGAAACTGCCTGTATGAGGCGGAGACACCGAGACAGTGGGACAGAGAGAGACAGAGGGAGAGAGAATGGATTTTGGAAAGTAGATATGTAGAGAAAATCCAATTCCGCATCATCCCTTTGATGTTCTGGGCATGGTGGCACATGTCTATAATTCCTGCTACTGGGAGACAGGCTGCTAGATCGTTTGAGATTGGGAGTTTTGAGGTGCGGTGTGCAAGGGAACCTCAGGATCCAGGAGGCACTAGACTGTCTAAAAAGCGGTTAACTGACCCAAATCAGAAATAGAGCAAGTCAAAGCTTCCCTGTTGAACAGCAGTGACTGACGTACTCCTAACCTGGGCTGAAGAGGCAGACCAGGCTCAAACAAACAAATAAATAAAAACATGTCCTAGTTTCCAGCTAACCTCCCTAGAGAATTTAGGACATTTCCCCTGGACTGAGTTCAGTCTCTCTCTTAGTTAAGCTAAGATAATTTGTTTCCAGTAGGAAAGTTCATTCACTCTGCATATATAATCTATATAACTCCTCTGCTATCTGCTTTGCAATCTACTTGGTTCAATGGACTTTATTATCATTCATTATTGTTGATGATCTTTTGTGTAACTAGTAGTTGGTGGAAATGGGTAAAGAATTCTGATAGAAACTTAGGATATCTCTTCACCTATAAGGCACAGTGTTCAGAAAATGATTTGAACCTAAGAAGGAAAAAGCATTCCCCTAGACTTACAATATTTAGGATGGCAGATAAATGTAATTCTAGTCCAGTACCCCTTCTTGAGGACAGCATTGTGGACAGCCTCAAGGCCTCTTCTCATCCCCTCCAAGCGAGAATCAAAATTACCGTTGGAGACGTTGGGCAAAATTCCCAAAATATCTGTTAAAGCTTCTGCATAAACCACATTTCGACAAACTCATGTGGATATACACAGCACATCCATAAGCAACACGTACATCCTACATGTCTATTTTTTCACATCATAGGGTCATAGATTGAGAGCTGGGAGGAACCTTAGAGACTATGGAATCCCATTCCCCATTTTACAGATAAGGAAACTGAGACCTAAAAAGTAAAATGATTTGTTCAGTCACAGCTAGTATCGGAACTGAGATTTGAACTCACACCTTGATGATTCTAGTATCAGTGTTCCTTTCTTTTTTTTTTCCTTTTTGGTAAATTTTGCTTTAAACTTAAACACAAAATAAGAAAAGAAAAAAGAAACAAACTTAAATACTAAACCTAAAAGGATACAAAATAAGAAAAGGAAAAAAAAGCATTGCCATGTGCACAGCAGAATACGAGAGAGGATTCAAAATATACAGCAATACATTTCCACTTCAATGTGCTTTCTTTTTAAAAAAAAATTTCAGCTAACAGGTATTTGATCTCTCTCTCTCCCTCTCCCTCTGCCTCGCCCTCTCTTCTCCTCCTGACTCACCACAAAAAAAGGAGAAGAAAAACAGACCCTTGTAATAAACAAGTGTAGTGAAACAAAACACGTCCCACACATTGGTTCCTTCTTCTCTGTGTAAGAAAGCACAGTAGGTTAAACACCTACAAGAAATGCTTATGGAATAGAATATAGGTGATATCGGGCTCAGTGTTGAACTTGGATGGTATTGCTAGAGGAGAATGATGTATAGAAAGATTACAGTTGTAAATATATATGTACATATATACACACATGCATGTCTGTGTATGTTTACACTTACATGTATTTACACAGTTCTCTGAAGAACTTTGGAATTGATTGTGTGACATAGCAGACACTGGCACAGGACCGCTCAGCATGGCGTGACCTCTTCAGAGAAGGTGTTGTGCTCTATGAGCAAAGCAGAATTGAAGAAACTAAAACGAAATGTAAGATGTAGCAATTTAGAGAATCCACCCCAAATGTTCACACGGATTGTTTGTGCTTGACTTGTGGTAGAGCATTCGAAGCTCATATTGCTCTGATCACCCACAGTTGGACATGCCGTACCTTGACTCTAACATAGTGATGCAATTTTGGTCTTCTTTGAGAGCAAAGGAGAACCTATGAACATATGCTTTACATATATGTATGTGTGTGCATATATACATATGTGTATAAACACATATGTATACAAACATACAGCTATACTGAGCAATTTTAGTGGCCTGTCTTGGTCCAGGAGAACAGAAAATGAAACCCACTTCCCTCTCTTAGAGAGGTGAGGACTTACAGGATCACAATGCTGGGTACACTGTCATACCGGATCACTTCTATTTGCCCTGGGAGGGCTCAGTGGGTGGGTGGGTGGCTGGAAAGTTTGAGAATAAGAGTGAGTTTTCAGGAAGTAATTGTGATATAAAGAACAGATGACATGAACAAAACTTTAAAAAGGGATGTGTGACTTAGCCATCGCTGCTAACAAAGCCTCCTTTGGAGGGCACCACCTGACATGACCACCATACTCACAGGATTCTAGGTGGGTGCTCAAGCCAACAGATGGAAGACCCTCCCAAAACAAGTAAACTGGACCCCTGAGAGCAGTTATTTCCAGAGTAAATTTGTATGAATCAGTAATGTCTCCTTTCTGTCTATGTATCTCAACTCTTCTTGAATAAGCCTCATGTTTTTCTTGTAGTGAAACTTCCCCTGCAAGACATCAGTGATTTAAGCTATGGAACATGGGAGCTCTCTACATGAAGATCAGTGCTTTTGTTGCATTCTTTTAGAGAACTTTTCTCTTGTCTACATTCACCAACAGAGAGATCTGATCTCCCTGATGCTCAAAGCGACTTCGACAAGTTTGGGGCATTAAATTGTACTTCATGGCATCTGTCCACCCATTTGTCAAGTGCTTTGTATGTTTGTTCTCATTTGAAACTCATCACTCACCTGCTTTTAGGTAGGCAGGGCTTTATTTAACCCACTTGACAAATGAGGAAACAATCCTACAGCTGTTCTGTGGTCACACAGCTGACAAGGGACAGACTCAGTCAAATCTAGGGCTGTGTCCATTCCTGGTTTTTGTTACTGTCCAAGCAGGTGAGAGATGATGATCACCAGGCACACCCATTCCCTGTGTGACCTGGAGGACCAGGAGACCTCTGAAGCCTCTTTCAGCTCTAGCTTTGGGCTCTAGAAAATATGGTAATGACATTCTATGATTAGCAAAGATTTAGGAAGACCTGGGTTCAAGTCCTGCCTGTGATAAATACCCTATGACCGGGGTCAGGGGATCGTGATTTGAAGCTGAAGGTGACTTCAGAGCTCATTGAACCCAGCACCATCATTTTATAGTTGAAGAAACTGAGTCCCAGAGAAGTGAAATGACTTGCGCAAAGTTAGTCATAAGATCTCAGCACCCCAAGACAAGTCTCAAAAATGCTTAATTCACACAGAAGTTGTCCATCTGCACCTGTGGAGGCAGCTAATGACTCAGTGGATAGAGTATGGAGCCCACAGGCAGGAAGACCTGAATTCAAAGCTGGCCCCAGACACTTACTAGCTGTATGATTCTGGTCAATTCACTTAACCTCTGTTTGCTTCAGTTTCTTCACCCATAGGATAGTGATGATAGTAATAGCATCTACCTCCCAGGGTTGTTGTGAGGATCAAATGAGATAATACTTGTAAAATGTTTTCTTTGCAAACTTTAAAGTGCTATGTAAAGGCTAATTATTATTTCCACACTTAGTATCTCCCTACACCTATGAAATCATGGCGGGGGGGGAGGGTAAATGAGATCACTTATGTAGAGCATTTTATAAGCCTAGATTAATTTTGCTATCAAAGTTATAAGATTTATCACCTATTTATGATCTGCAAAGTACTTTACATGTCTTATCTCATTTGATATATTACTGCAGGGTTCAGAGTTGGAAGAAATATTGGAGATCATATAGTCAAAACTCCTCATCTTATGGATGAAGAAAATGAAACCCAGACAACAGGAGAAATTACTTGGCCAAAGCCTCCAAAGTGGTCAGCAACTAAGGAGGGAAAGGAGCTTCACTCCTCCAGTTCCAAAACCGTGCTCCTTCCTCTATTCTTACTTTGTGGGTCACAACACAAAAGCTCTGGTTTTGGAAGTAAACAAATGAGCTTATTTTTCTTTTGTAATTAATTAATTTATCATCCTGAACTTAACAAACAGCAAAGTAAAATGTGCATTTCAATGTACATACTACAGCAAAAAGAAAAAAAGAGGAACATTATAAATATAACTGCTCTCAATTATTTATAACATATGATAAATTTAATGTGTAGCACCCAAAGTTATCCTACTTATCTCTGATTTTAAAAATCTTCCTTCTGTTCTCTTCTGTGCATTTTTTAAATGTTTCAATCAAACTCTTTTCTTTCTTTTTCTTCTTTTTTCTGCCCTATCCCTCCCACTCACCTACTCCCAAATGGGGGAAAAAAAGAAAAGAAAAATGGGCTTATTTTGTAATCCCTTCCAGGTGATTTCACGTTATAGACCTCTTTGGCACATTTATAAAACTTACTGACCTCTTTTGAGAGTAAAGTTTTTAAATTCATAGAATAGAATACCTAGTATCACAAAGAAAACCAGTTATGGTGAAGTATAGCTCTCAAGATAATTTGTAAAAACAAGTTCACAGACCCAGGGTTAAAAAGCCCCACTTTAAACGAACTTAAAGGTTCTCACAAAGCACGTTACACCTATACGCTCTTGACTTCTCTGGGGCTTGATTTCCTGCCCTGTAAAATGAAGGAGTTGAATTAGGTGATGTCTGACATCCCCTCCTGCTTCCATCCTACCCTGAGAATACAATTTCTAAAATAAGAATAGAGAATGTTCAAGTCTATCCAGCAGAGGGTGCCACAACCCACAAAAGAAATGCTTGCCAGAGAACTTGACCCTTTCCCCATAATCATCCCTATTCCCTGAGTAACTAGTACTCTGAGGATGGGGGAAGAGCCAGAGAAATAAAAGGGCAGGAGGAGACAGAGGTGGAGGCTGTTTGTCTCCTGAATGCTGCACATTCATTCTCCCTGCCCAATTTAAACAAAGCACCACTTTTCTAATGTATTACTTGAGAAAAGTATATTACATCCCTCAGAAATGGGCTTTGTTATGTATTGCCAAAGCTGCCTGGCTAATCTTTGTGCAAATGAGGCTCCAAATATAAATGACTGATGAGAGAAGGACCAGAGAGAGGGATGGTTGCTGCCTGGGACGGTTTTGTTCTGGTTTTGTTTTTGTTTTTTAGTAATGAGAAATATTCGGTTGTTATCCCAAAGGATCCACATTAGAACTTTTCTTGGGGCATTAGACACAGGTGGATTGGAATAGAGAACTGTGGCTTGGTGCAGGGATTCAATTCCATTTTGTAGACATCCCCTAAGTGACTTCTAAGTGCCAGGCACTGAGCTCCTTGCTGGAGATACAAAGACAAAAGCGAAAAATAGATCCTTCCCTCCAGAACCTTAGGTTCTGAGATTCAGAGCTAGCCAGGACCTTACAGACCACTGAGTTCAACCAAGTTCATTATACAAATGATGAAACAGTGACTTGCCCAGGGCCACACAACCAGTATGAGCCTGAGGCAGGCAGCAAACTCAGTCCTTCCTAGGCTCTAGGAGATCTAATAGACATGCAGGTAAATAAATACCAAGTGACCCCAAGAGAAAGGACCAGCACACCTGAGCTGCGGATTAGATTAACCCGGGCTGGGGATTTACAGAGGCAAAGGTGCAGTGGAGAGCGTCCAAGGCATGAGGAACCACTTGTATTTGGATCAGGAGGAGGAGAGTAAGGAGCAAGTTCATGTGACCAGAAAGGAGAAAGCGTGAAGTGAATAATAGGAAAGAAGACCGACAGTGTTGGTGGGAGCCTTACTACAGAGGGCTCTGCCTGGCTAGTTCATGGTTTGTCTTGGGGGCAATAGGGAGCCATTGGAATGTTCTGAGTTAGGGTGTGATATAGTCAGAGTTAAGTTTTAGGAATGTTGGTTGTGTGGAGGGTGGTTTATAGAGGGGAGAGATCAAAAAGTCAGTTAGGTAATCTACATCAAATTGATTTTTCAAAGAGAAGGAAGGGAAGGAGGGGAATAATTTGGAACTCATGTTTTTTTTAAAAATGTTGAAAATTTTGTTTACATGTAATAGAAAAAAATAAAAATGAAAGTCAATTACAAGGCTATGGCAGTGTAGATGAGGTGATGAAAGTCTGAATTAGGAGAGAGGTTATAGCAATGGGGTGCTGGAGACAGCTCCTACCAGCTGGGAGAGCTGATTGTTAAATCCTCACTGTGAGCACCTACACTTCAGAAACCAGCAAACACTACAAATCTAGCCTTGTTTTGTTGATTGTCTAGACTTAAGAAAGTGGTAGATAACTGTGTTAATAATGAAACTTAAACTTAAAAATGTGCCCTGCTCGTGTTTTTTTTTTCTTTCAAAGAGGCAATAGTTAACCACTTGCCAATACACCCTTGGTATATGACTGGAGAATAGGGATTGCTGTGAGACATCTTTGAGGGATTAGACTGACAAGATTAGGAAATTGATTGGGTGTGGGAAGAGTGAGGGAGAGAGTCAAGGATGACTCAAAAGGCTAAGGACCTGGGAGAGGGAAAGAATGGTGGTCCCCTCAACAGAAATGGGGAAGTCTGAAGGAAATACTATGTCCTGTTCTGGGTGCACTAATTTTGAGGTACCTCAGAGGCATCCAGGGAGGAGGTGCAGAAGGTGATTTGTAATATAGGACTAGGGTTCAAGAGAGAAGTGACAGGATCCTGGCATCACAGAATTTCAGGGTGGATGGGACTTCCAGGCCATCCAGAGCAGGAATCCTCTCTACGATGTGCAAGTAGGAGGTTTTGTGGCCTCTACTTGCATATCTCAGGTGAGAGGGAACCTACCACCTTCCAAGGCTGCCCATCTCACTTTGGCAGCTCTGACAGGTAGAAATGTTTTCCTTATCCTAATGAAAATATGAAGAAATTTTCATTACTTTTTTTAAAAAACTAAATTTGCCTCTTTAAGGCTTTTATTTAGGGTTTTGAAGTCTGGAGGAATGGAGAAGAAGCTTGACATAGGTCAATCCTTGTTCTCAGTACACCTACAGCTTACAGCTGCATCCCTAGGGTCAGGGGCTCAGAAAGTGTCTAGTCACGGACACCTGAATCTGCAGCTGTGGAGCTCCAACTGGGAGTCTCAGAGCCTCCAATTAGGAGGGCAAAGATGAGGTGGCACCCCAGATCAGACTGTGCCAGTCAGCCAGGGCCACTCCTGAGGCCCTTGAAAAACAAGCACAATGGAAGATCCACCCCTCCCAAAAACTCAAGATCAGAACCAAAGACAGCTTTGATATTTCTTCCAAAAGCACATAGAGCCTGCGTCTGACACAAAGTCTGAATTAAGGAAAGACTGGAAAAATGAGCAGCAAAAGAAAACACTAAGGAGAGAGAGAGAGAGAGAGAGAGAGAGAGAGAGAGAGAGAGAGAGAGACATATGTTGTCTGTCATTCATTTTCTAAAAGGGCATATGACATCACAGGGTGATGTGTTGACTTGTGTGTGAATGGAATTTAAATGAGTTACACAAAGTTGTCAGCCTCACTCTTTCTTCAAGAGTCGTTGGAGTCCAGTGGCAAGACAAAAATCAGGGTGACTGGAAGTGGTCCAGGATACAGTATATGACCTTGGCGCCTTCAATGTCTGACCAAGCCCTAAGCGCTTTACAGCGCCTGCTTCAGCCACCTCATGACTGTTAAAACAAATTGTTCTCATCTGCCCATTCCACCAGAAGTCTTCACATGCTTGGGAAGATATCCCCTCAATCACCTATGGGTTTGAGACTCATCAGTCTTCCTCAACCTGCTTTAGCCCATCTGCTGAGATGGTTTACCAGGATGTGGCCCCTGTACGAGCTACCGCTTCTTGGAGCCACAGCTGGGTGGCAGGTGGACACTAAAGGTAGATGAGTAGCCCTGAAGAGGGCTCAGCAGCCCTGCCATCAAAGGTGCTGGTCCTTCTTGAACATCCATACACCCATTATACATATATGTATATACACATATACATACATGCACATGTGCCATCTACAAACAAAATTTTGAAGAAAATTGCAGAGTTGGCAGTTTTCATGTCTAATATAGTATTGTCTCTAATACAGTAAGTATAATTAGATGTATACCACATGAACACTGGGATCCTCAATATTTTTTCAGAAGATGAAGGGGTCCTGAGACCAAAGAGTTCTGGTGCTGTGTAGAGTAGAAATTCAAGTTTTTTCATTTAACCCTCTTTTTCTCATCTACTTCATATACATGTAAATGTTTATATTTTGGCACTTAATAAGTTCTGAATTTTTAAAATAAATTTTAACTTTAAAAAATGCTTCATAAAGGGAAAGTCATCTTGATTTTCTTCCATTTTTTTGGTGCTGCTGGACTGAGCACTGAATGTACTTTGTCTTCCTCCCCTCGGGAAGCAGGGGGTTACAGTGGAATCAGAGGTCCTAGGTTCAAATCCTTTTACACTTACTCCCTGGGTGACATTGGGCAAGGCCATGGTCTTCAGCCACCTCATCTGTACAGTGGGGAGGCTGAGAATTCCAAACAACTGACCTCAAGCTTGCAGAATGAGGCGCGCGTTTGGGGACATAGCCAATGTGGGGATTTGTTTAACTTAACCATACATATTTGTTACAGGAGCTTGGTTTTCCTTTTATACAATGGAAATGTGGTAGGAGGAAAACAAAATAAATGCTTGCTAACTAAAAAAAATGAAATGCTTGCTAATTGAAAAAAATAATTAAATTAAATTAAATCAGAGGATTGCTCTCAGCAGCCTCTGAGGGCCTTTCCAGCTCCATCTCTGTGACTGGAGACAGAGCCTATCTCTGTCAGATCAAGGACTGTGTCTTTGCCTTCTTTGTTTTGCCCCACATTGCCTAGCCCTGCTCTGTATTCTGTAGGTGCTAAATGGTTGTTTTATTCAATAAATGTGTAAATGTATGTATGAGCTCCCTAGCTCCACCACCAAAATAAATCCAGGCTGTTCTCTCATCAGGCCACTAGATGGCAGCAATACAGTATAATCAGCTTGGCTGCCAAACACAGCCAAACTTCTATGTTCTTTTGTTTTGATTTTTGGTGAGGCAATGGGGTTAAGTGACTTGCCCAGGGTCACACAGCTAGTAAGTGTCTAAGGCCAAATTTGAACTTAGGACCTGTATCCACTGTGCTACCTAGCTGTCTTGTAATATAGCTACTAGGTTTGTATCCCGAAGAGATCCAAAGTTGGGGGTGGGAGGAGGAAAGGGACCTATATACAAAAATATTTACATCAGTTCTTTTTGTGGTAGCAAATAATTAGAAATTAAGGGAATGCTAATCAATTTGGGAAAAGCTAACAAGTTGTGGTATATGATTGTGTTAGAATACTATAAGAAATGCTATAAGAAATGACAAGCAGAATGGCTTCAGAAAAACCTGGAAAGACTTACACAAATTGATACGTAGTGAAATGAGTAGAACCGGGAAAGCAGCATGTACAGTAACAGCAACATTCTGACAAAGACCATCTGTGAATGCCCTAGCTATTCTCAGCAATACAAAGATCCAAGACAATTCCAAAGGATTTATGACGAAGAATGCCATCCACCTCCAGAGAGAGAACTGGAGGAGTCTGAATGCAGATCGAAGCACACTTCTTAAACTTTCTTTATTTTTCTTGTTTTGTTTTTAGGTAGTTTTTTTTTTGGTCTGTTTTCTTTCACAACATGATTAATCCGGAAATTTTGTTTTGCATGACTGCACATGTATAATCTATTTTGAACTGTTTGCCTTTTCAAGGAGAGAGGAGGGAGAGGAGGAAGGGAGGGAGAGAATTTGGAACTCAAAAATTTTTAAAAACAAATGTTAAAAATGTTTTTATATGTAATTGGGGAAAAATGAAATATAAAAATTTTCAAAAAAGAGAAGTAATCTCCTGTCTTGGCTTCCTTAATAACACACTGTCCTGGGTTTCCTATTACCTTTCTGACTGCCCTTTTTCAGGCTCCTATCTTTCTTCCTGATCCTAAAGGTTGGAGAAAATTCACCTCAAGGAAATGGAGAGAACACTGGACTTGGATCAAAGGACCGAATCTCAGTCGGATGGCACCTGAGAGGCCCTTTAGGCTAAATCCCACCTAAGTCGGAATCCCCAAGCCTCTGCTTAGAGGTCTGCACTGGACAAAGCCCCACACCTCCAAGATGCTCCATTCCACTGAAGAACCCCTTCTGTTACTAGAGAATGACTTCTATAGCCAGCCTAGATGCTTCTCTTTACAAATGCCATCTTGATTCTGCCCTGTGGGGCCAAGCAGAATGAGTCTAATACCTTTTCCACATGATAACCCATCAAACATTTGAAAGCAGTTACCATCCCCTCTTCCCACCCACCCCCACCTCAGGAGTCCTCCTCTTCTGGCTAAACAGCCCCAGGTTCTTCGAACGGTCCTCAGGCCGGCCCATCTCCAGCCTCAGCCCCTTCCTCTGGATGTTCCCCAGCTTACCCACTAGGCACTGCATGCATGATCTTCTAAGGCTGAGACTAACTAAACTGGAAGGAAGGAAGGAAGGAAGGAAGGAAGGAAGGAAGGAAGGAAGGAAGGAAGGAAGGAAGGAAGGAAGGAAGAAGGGGAGGAAGGAAGGAGGGATGGAGGGAGGAGGGAGGGAGGAAAGAGGGAAGGAAGGAAGAAAGGAGGGGAGGGAGGGAGGAAAGAAGGAAGGAAGGAAGGAAGGAAGGAAAGGAAGGAAGGAAGGAAGGAAGGAAGGAAGGAAGGAAGGAAGGAAGGAAGGAGGAATGGAGGGAGGAGGGAAGGAGGAAGGAAGGAGGAAGGAAGGAAGGAAGGAAGGAAAGGAGAGAGGGAAGGAAGAAAGGAAATTGCACTGCTGAAGTAACATAAGAAGTGAAAAACCTACACACACACACACACACACACATACACACACATACACACACATGCATACACACTCACACATACACACATACACACTCACACATACACACACAAACACACACATACGTACATACACACTCTCACA